GGGAAATTATGATACAAACAGCACTGTCTTTTCAGATGTCCCTTTGCCTTGTATTACTGTTACAGCACATAGTTCCACGTTACAGGATGTAAAGATTAGAATCCCTCAACACATCCTCAGTGTTTCCAAAGAAGCTGATCTTTCTGCAGGGGAAAGATGTAGCTTCTTACCCCACTTGTATCATCTCTTTGTGCTTGCTGAAGCACTCTGTTGCTGAGTTGGGTTTTCCACTTACCTTTAGTGAGAAAGAATACCACTTTATATTTGACAGTTGTCATTTTAAAATCAGGGAACATTTTAGTGACAAGCAGCTAACTGGATGAGCAGAATGCTCATTTTTAAAGTTGCCCTGAGTGTCAAATCCTGACCAAGAAATGCCAGTTCATGCTGAATTCTCAAGAACTTAGTTTGCAAAGCATTGTGTAATAATTGTCACAGTCTAGGAACGATCCCTGTTTCATGGAGGTGGAGATCAATGCAAGGCTTCTTTGCTATGGGCTCAGTTCTGCATGGCAAAACTGACTGAAGGACTCCTGTATTTTACAGGCTGAGGACCTTTTAGAAATACTGCGTAGAATAGTATCTTAATGTTCATACAGCTTATGGCTGCCATCTTGTGGCTGCTCAAAGTAGGTTTGGTTTTTTTTGTTGTTCAATAGGAGTTATATTCTTATAATGCAGGTATAAGTCTTTATATAAAACTGTGTGCCTACAATATACCCATAATAATTATATGTATTCCTGAGGTATCTGTGCATGTAGTTTACAATGCGTGTTTACATATCCATTTGTGACTTATTTTTTGGACAGAGTTCTTTATCCTGAAATGTCTGGTTGCAATAAGTAGTGATAGTTATTGTTAAAGGTTAGCATATCTATTTACAAGAGTGTTAATATATTTTTGCTTTCAAAAAAGCAGTCTTCGTTTTAGAATATACAAAATAACTTATGCTGAATGTCGTTTTAAGAGAGTTCTGAGGTCTTTAATATTTTGGTAGTAACGTTTTCCTACAAATTGCAGGTCAAACAACCCTGCTGGAAATTTTGACAAGAATCCACAACAGTTTGCGGCCTGGTATTTCAGAAAAGTTTATACCAAGTAATTTGCCTGAGAGGAATAGACTGTTGCACCTTATCGCTCTGTGCTGGCATCAAGAACCAGACTGTAGACCACGTACTGCAGGTAAGGTTCAGGATTTGCTTTTTTTGCAAGACTTGTAATGGAGATAGTCTTGCTGGGAACATTGCTCTAGCACTCTAAATCAATGACAGAACAACTGAAGTGGAAGTATCTTTAGATCATCAAAGTATTGTAGATGGTCTTTCTAACTGAAGCTTCCTACCTAGAAGCTCATAGAAATGGCTTGTTTATCTCCAAAATTGTGTTTACTATAAAGTAAAAATGAGTACAAATAAAGGAAAGAATATTATCAGCTATATACTAGTTTAACAAAGATCAACCTGTCTTCAGCATTTCTTGATTTCACTGCATAACCAGTTCCCTTTGAAGTGTGCTATCATTGTTTACTTTAGTGGAATTGTTATGTTTATCATTTATTTCTAAAAAGATAGCCAAGAAATGTTAAAATTGTGATATTTGAGGACTTTTGAGCAAATTTTCAAAGTTGAATTGCTGAGGAAGCAATGTGCATATAGCTTTATTGTGATAGATTTATACAGTCGTGTAAATCTTTTGCAAGTAAGTTCACTGCATCTGTGTGAACATTTAACAAAATGTGATTTTAATGTGACTGTAACTGTTCTTTAAAATCAGTTCAAAAAGGAAACCAAGAGGAGGTATGAGGTGGAAGTTGTATTAAACTAATTCCATCTAGTTCATCCAGCTACTCAACATAATAGTAAAGTTAGCTGCAATACACTAATGCCTAAATATATACACACTTTCATACGCAATGCGGTATTTAAAATGCTTTATTACCCCTGCAGAATGTGTAGAACTTCTAAATGGAATTGTGACTAGTGTAAAAAAGGAGGCAATTTCCACTGCAGTCTACAATCTGATGGATGCAAAGGTTAGTGCCAAATTAAATTTTGTTCTCCTACAAGGACATTACTTGATTCTTTCAATTGCAATCTTTGTAGTCCAAAACCAGGAAAGGTTTTGTCTTCGTTGTTCTATTGGACATGCCAGAGAGCTGGAGAGTACCCTTTGGCACTTCAGGTTCATTCAGGAATTGTAGAAAATAAGTATTGTGAGGTTCTCTAGAAACCATGTCAATTGTTACCCGAGATGATAAAAATATGATAGCTTCTTTCCAGTCACCAGCTGTAGTCAGACTGGTAAGCCCATGTGAGTGAGAACAAATATCAGGCTCAAGCAGATCAGATTAGGGCTAGAATCAAGGACAATTTGTGTTGTATGTATTGGTAAGAAGATATTTATTCCAGAACCTGAACAGCATTAGTGCCTGCTGCAGCAATACTAGTACCAGCGCTTTTTTGTATGCTTCCCTGCTTCTAAATTGACGTGCTTCAGGCACAAGACACTGCTCGTTCTAGGGTCTAAGAGGGTTCTCTGATACCACAGGAATGGATGGGGAACGGCCAACAACTGAGGGATACAGCTAACTCCATATATGTCTACATTGCCATGGAAAATCTGGCACAAATCTGACTGCCACAAATATAGCTATATCCTATCTAGTCATAGTGGGAAAACTGGCGACACATGCTTCAGCCCTTGAACAAGTATTCTGACTCCATTTACATCCATGCTGTGTTGTCGGTTTCATTGCTGTGCTTATGTGACTTGTTTATGTTAATGCATGCTGGATTATTTCTGTATGTTGCAATCACATTCTGGGATTATAGAACAGACTTGATCAATGTTTTAATAGGTGGCATAGTTATAGTCCAAGTCATTTTTTCTACTGTTGAAGCTTATTTAGGATTGTACTGCCAAATATTCCATAATCTAATGCTTCAATCTCCCTTGAGCAAGGTTTTATTTTTCTATTTACTAAATTAGCAAAGAGCACTATTTATTGTTCAAACAACTGAACTGATAATATGTCCAAAATGACTGTGAAAATGCTAGTGGGGATTCTTGAAAATTGATTGATTCATAAGTGTTGAAGTATAAAAACTAAAAATAGTTGAACAAATCTGCTGCAGATGTACAAAATGGAAAAAAGTTACAAGTATTGACACATCCTTATTGCAGACAGTTTGGCGTACTAAACACAGGACAGCCCTGCTGTTTGGATACTTAAAGGAAAACATGTTATAGCTAGCCCAATCTCTCTCTCTCAATACAGAGCTATTTTCACCTTCCCCTGCATGATTCAAAACTGGGTTTTAAAATAAATTTGAAACAGCACAAAGTAACAGGGTAGAGTTATGTGGCAGATTCTATGCCCACTTATATGTGTTAAAACGCAAAATTGCTCTGTGCAATTTACTGTTACTATGTATCAGTGTACCTGAGAGTTTAATATATATTGTCAGAATAAATTGTCAGTGTCTTGCTCCTGACAACCGTGAATTGAACAAACAATATGTATACTTACTAGAGATACTGTGCTATTTTTTCCAGGAGAGAGCACTTAATGCATGCAAAGGTTCAGAAATATACATGTTGCAGACGGGCATATGCAATTCAGAGGTGAGTACAAGGCATAAGAGTCTTACAAGAGTACTTCATAAGCTGCTTGTTTCTCCTGCCAGCCCTGACAATGTGTAACGTATAACAAACACTGTGGGGCAAAATGTCCCTAACCAGGATAACTCCATCCACTGTTTTACCTTCTTGCAAGCAGCCGACTCTGATGTTGCTCTTGCAAAAATGGCCTCTTCCACTTAAGAGTTGCTTTGAACCTCTCCTTGAAGAGGTCCTAATGAAATGGCAAAAATCTAACCTTTCTTGTAGTGTGTTCAAAATGATGGCTGGAAAAAGTCCTATGCTGAATATTAGCATTTTCAACCAATTTTCTTAGATCAAGGCCAATTGCTCTGTGATCACTCCAAAATACAGTTAACTCCCATTTTTAAAGTGATTTGGGCACTTGGGGCGGGCCTGCCGATACTGAAAGAGAGAGAGAGAGAACTGAAGCTCACATGCCTGGATCAGAGCTAGCTTTAAACAGCTCACTTTCTGGTGACACCATGGCTACTGGCAGCACAGGCTGCAGAAGCAATCCAGGACTGCAGCAAACCCTAGGACAGTTAGCCTACGGATCTATGCTGCCACAGCGACCCAAGGTAACTAGCTGAAGTTCCATTAAGTATGTCTGTAGGCTCAAGAGCTGCATACCCACCCTGCCCTGCACTGTGATACTATTGCCTTTATATTCCAAGAGAAAACTGCTTAGAAAAGGTTTTGGAGCAAAAGTTTCCAAGAATATAATTCTTCTCTATTTTGATCTTTTTCAGGTCATCTGTTCACCAAAACCCAACCACATAATCAGCAAGGAAATTCCTTCTGTAGTGCCAAGCTTGTCAACTATTCTGCTTGATAGCAGTGCAAACAATGCAGGAAGAGAAAATATTGAGACGGGTCTGTCAAATACTATCCCACAGAACACAACAACAAAGCAAGGTCTCTACCTTAAAACATACTCAGCTCCCACTATTCTAAGAAAAGGATAAATATTAGCAGTTATTCCATATACAGATGTTATTTTCCATGTAAAGTTGTCCCTTCTCAGAGTACAGCTGTGCCCTCTACTGGTATCATCTGAAGCACGAGTTCACTGCAGAAAACCACCAGAGGTGCCACAACACCTTTTGATTAAGTGTATAGATCAAAAAGCCTCTTTTGGTAAATTTTTTTAGAACCCTGACCTGTAATGTACAGCTGCCTTTCCCTCGCACATCAAATATTGCCTGCTGCTTTTGACAGAACAAGTCCCTCCTGGGAACCACACTGCCTTGTGCCACCAGGAATAACTGCTTTTTTGTAATTTGCTAATAAGAAAAGGAGATAAGTTTTGAAACGACTGTGTTGCCAGGAACATGTGAATGATTCCTGGTAATCACCATTCCTACATAAATAACTTCCTTTGCCTTTCCAATGTGTATTTGTCCTGTCAAACTTGTGTCAAGTGATATATTTCCTTAACAGCTTTTTCTGTACTCCTCATGCCTTTGGATACAAAAGTTGAGCCATAGGAAGTCAATTCACTTATAGCAACATCTGCATTTCCAAGTATTTTAGTTCTGATCAATAGCTGTCAGACTTACGGACAGAACAGAATGTTCCATACCTTCAGAAATAAATTCCTACAGACAGTTTGAAAAAGTCGGATGTGTGTAGTAATATATGCCAAAATCTTCCTAGGAATAATGATGTATTAACAAGGGCCCAAAGAACAGCTAGTAATAAGTGACTCAAGTTAGTTTTCACTTCAGTTCCAGTCCTCTGCAGTGGCTGATATATGTATAATGTTCTTTTGTTGTTCAATTCAGGGGTCTCATCTTACTCATCTTAAACTTTTTCTAGATCACCCAGGCTCTGACAATAGAAAAACAAATTCCTTTTGCACGATTCCTTTATCTGGTTCAACTGCAGGCAAAAAAAGCAGTCAGCATAAGGACCCACCACTGGCTCTTAAGCACAGACCACAACCTATGTATCTTGCACAAGCAGTGACAGGTAAGACCCCATTGCCAGTTTGAGGTGGCAATATGCTCCTTGGCCAGATCTTGGTGATTAAACTGTTTAAAGTTTGGAGGACACAGATCTCTCTAAATCTTGTGCACGTTTTCAGGTATTTAGCGTAATAACTCCTCCAAACTTGATACAAATGTCTCATGAGTCTATTTGCCTATAGCTGCTCCTATGTTCTCAGAAGTTCAGACATTGGCTATTGAGAACATTGCCTTGTTCTTTTGCAGGGTCATATTCAGGCTGAGTTCTGAAAAGATCATAAAAATACAAAAAATATAGCACACATCGAATGTGAAAGACATTAGTTGTTTAAGTCTGGGAATTTTTTTTTTCTTGTAATTTTAAGCTGTGTATTCTATACCTCTACAGAAGTAGGTATTGACTTCAGAAACAGGTGACTTAGGAGGAAGGGGGACCATTCATTTCCTTACTTACATGGTCTTAGTTTTTCCTACTGAACAGAGGCAGAAAAGGCCAGCTTCTGATTCGTGAAGCCTGCCTTTGCCTGAAGGTAAAAAGCTCATAAAGCTTCTTGCTAACTTTTTGCAAGCTGGCCTGTGACAGTTCTTGCATCTAGCTGGCCATCCTTCTCCACTTCAATTTACTTCTGAGCGATGATGTAATTTCTGGATAAATCAACAGACTAGTTCATGCAGGAAAAGTTCATCACAGAACTCTACTGGCAACAATCAGAAATCAGAATGACAGAGGCATGGTCTCCAAAGCAACAATGGCTTTTGGTTATTGATTTTCTCTTGGTATATGGTATTTACTGTACACTAAAAACCCTAATGTCAGTACTAAGTATTCTAATCAGTTTGTGAAAAGAGACAGAACCCAAAGTTCTTGATCATTTTGCCAAGAGTATTATTTTTGTTACTAGTTTGGCCTTGACATATATTCAAGTTCCCAGTCTCACAACACGTTTCAAACAGTCCTACTACCCTGAACTACCTATTATCTGTTCTTCCACTTTCTATAGGACAAAGTTTTCTCGTCTATGTTGAGCCAAGCTGCTTTGCATAAAATTTGATGCAGGTGCTAGATGAACAGCACGAGACCTGAAAATCTCCTCCCCTTACACAACCTGAGCACTTGATAATCTTTAGAAACACTTACTTTCTGTAATCTGATCTTCATGAGTTTTGAACAAAAGATTAAAGTACATTGGACTAGTTTTGAACAAAGAATGCAAATAAACTAACTGTTCCTACTCCTTTCCTCTACGAAGTTTATATTTCTGGTGTTGATACTATCACTTGCTAACAACTTCTGGAAGAAAAGAGCACTTAGTTTCTCTCACTTTGTTTCCTTTTCACTCAAGATCCTTGCTGCAAAGGAAACTGCTGTCAAATACTAGCCTGCCAGAGACAGACCATACTGAGCTGCATGACAGAAGGACGTCTCAACCACATCCTCGATGTCCTTCGTTCAAAGAAAACGTTGTCCCGAATGGATTATGAAACAATTACCTCTTACCCCACAGTGACTGGCCGTGCTCGGGCATTGTTGGACACTTGCCTTTGCCTTGGAGAAAGTGCAGCACAGGTTGTAGTGACTGCACTTTCAGTGACCAAATGTAGTCCTTTGGGACGAGGCAGCCATTGCCCAGACTGTCTTTCTAAGGTAAATAGGCTGTTGTTGTGACTAATTTTTTTGTTTGTTGCATGGATCAGAGTACTGGTAATTTGGAATGGCAATGATTCATGTTAACTCCTCATAACCCATTGACTGAAGTCAATCCTTCCTACAGCCCATGATTTTAGTCCTCTAGTGGAAAAAGCTAGCTGGATTAAAAGGTCAAGTCAACCACTGCCTGCAGAAATTACCAAGACTGGTATAACAAACCAGTTATACCTATATCTAATTTGGACCTCAGAGATGGGAGGAGTGCAATGTGTGCCAGAGCAAATATAGTTCAAGTCACATGACACATTATTTCCTTGATTTTTTTAGAAGGGAGGAAAATGGATCATGACTTTTTGGAGGTCACACTATGGAAGAATGGCTGTTACTAAATCCTTCCAAATAAGGATAGCAAACAGGGTACTGGATGAGGAGAAAAAAATTACTGCCTTTCACTGAGCTCATATCTGAGCCAGCTGTTAGAGTGAAAGGCTTAAGAGAATCAAGAAATATTTCTTCAACAGGGCCTTAAGTAAGACTTGGAAATTCAGTATTATGCATATGCGACAACGTGCGCTCGCAGCCCAGAAGGCCAACCGTATCCTGGGCTGCATCAAAAGCAGCGTGGCCAGCAGGTCGAGGGAGGTGATTCTGCCCCTCTACTCTGCTCTGGTGAGACCCCACCTGCAGTGCTGTGTCCAGCTCTGGAGCCCTCAGCACAAGAAAGACATGGACCTGTTGGAGCGGGTCCAGAGGAGGGCCATGAAAATGATCAGGAGGATGGAACGCCTCTCCTATGAAGAAAGGCTGAGAGAGCTGGGGTTACTCAGCCTGGAGAAAAGGTGGCTTTGGAGGGACCTTATTGCAGCCTTTCAGTACTTAAAGGGGGCTTACAAGAAAGATGGGAACAAACTTTTTAGCAGGGCCTGTTGCGACAGGACAAGGGGGAATGGTTTTAAACTAAGAAAGGGTAGATTTAGACTAGATATAAGGAAGAAATTTTTTACAATGGAGGTAGTGAAACACTGGAACAGGTAGCCCAGAGAGGTGGTAGATGCCCCATCCCTGGAACCATTCAAGGTCAGGTTGGACGGGGCTCTGAGCAACCTGATCTAGTTGAAGATGTCCCTCCCTGCCCACAGCAGGGGGGGTTGGACTAGATGACCTTTAAAGGTCAAAGGTCCCTTCCAATCCAAACTATTCTATGATTCTATACAAATTATTTTATTTTCACTCTCAAATGCTCATATGTTCTGAAAATGGGGCACTGATAGCAGCACTTTGGAGAGGTGGGGCTTAAAGTATTTACTAAATGGAAAAATGTTCATACCTTACATCCATGTAGTTCCCTAAGTATGTCTGCAGTTCAAATGTAAAATTAAACCAGGAAGAAGAGGTGCCAAGCTGATCATCTGAAATGGTGGTTCTGCTGAACTGCAAAGGAAAGTAGTAAGATTATTTTAATTATAATGAAAATGAGGTTATATAAGATGCTGGTTTTTTGAAGGCACAGTGGGATTCCTTCAAGCTTCATGGCACTGGATTAACATGAGAACTTGTTATACATCTACAAGTATTTCAAATGCAAATTTTTTTTTCCCTATGTTGCATTTGTTCTCTCTGCAGTTTCAAACTGCTTATTTAATTCAGCAGTTTGGCAGGTTGCAATTTTAAATACAGTGATGATGTGTTCTCTAGGCACACCTAAGATAGAAGAAATTTGTTACATTACTACAATGCTGCTGGAACCATAAATGTTTTCTTTCTTATGTAAATGCATTAAGCTTTAAGACTGCCTTGACATGATATATTGTTGTAATTAAAAGCAATGTCTATCAGAGTACGTTGCAAATATAATGTTTGCCTATTAAAGGAGCTAAACATCTACTTCACTGTTGAATTTTTTTTCGATCTACACTTTAAATGGGAACTTTCAAAAGACTAGATCAGTCTCTGCTAAAAAAGGATGTCTTGCTTGTGAGGAAAAGAACCGCTGTCATGGTGTTTTGCCTGTTTAGAAGGCATAAAATAATCGAGTAAAACAGATAATCGTTCACCTGCAGGAAATATTTACAGACTTGTAAGAGGGAAATTGGCAATATTGTTGAAACTTAATTATCAGCTTTCAAAAACTATTCTATTCAGTTGTTCTGCTGGACACTTTATACTTCAGTGAAAGATGTGCTAGCTGGCAGGCTATGCTGATGTTTGTCATTATGTTTTTGACATAGAAACAGTTTTGGCTCTTTTCTTGAAACAGCTGTCTAGTTGAGAATATCATTCGATGCCAGACCTAAGACCAGTCTTAACTGGTAATTGCAAAACTGGCATCAAACCAGTGGGAGCACAAGTTATCTGTTTTTCCAGACAGATTTTTGTTCTCCTCACATTTAGCTTTCCAATTTAAGTATTTGTAATAGGATGTGACCTTAGAGTTAGATCTACTACTATCATGCTTACCCAAATTTTTAAAACATAACCCAAGAAGACAGTTTGTAACCAATTACAAAACAAAAGCAAATTTGTTACCTCATGTTCAAAAGAGCCTGGATAGAATTCTTTAAATATGTTATTTAATAATTAACTCTATCCACAATCAGATTTTTGCCACCTTGCTCAACTGAAATCAATGCACGGGTTTGAGATTTTTTTGTATTGATACAAAAGCATTGTCATAACTAGCTACGCTACTGCCAAAGCCTTGCTATAAACATTGTTAAGTTGATGTAGCCACATGCATACACTTCCTCATAACTCCCCCTTGTGTAATATAAACATTTAAATTTTGGGGTTCGTTGACAGTTGTAGTTGTTGGGAATCTTTAAGTGTGGTATTTTGAAGGGATGCTACTAGTTTATTGAAATGAAACTGCTGTTGATATAAAAAGTTTTGATACAAAACTAGAATACAGTGACCTGAAATTAGCATAATTTAATTTTGTCTCACCAAAAATACATACTCTTGTAAGGCCTATAATGTGTTGGCTATGTAACAAAGACATTAATGTAATGTGTTGATCACTGACATGAAATATCAAACTGCTTAAAGCTTATGGTATTCTGCTTGTATCCAAGCTAGTTCATTAGCTAAGACTTTTATTGTCCTTGCCTCTGTTCTGCGGTTCTCTTGATATCACAAAACAATATAGAATAAACGACACTGAGCAAGAGTAAAGACAGAAGAATCAAACTGTTCTTTAGTATCTATGGGAAGAAACAAGGCTCAAATCTGAAGAATGCCTAGAGTGCCAGGAAGGAAATATAAAACATGGGTAACTCTAGAAAATAGCAAATGTAATAATAAAAAGAAGTCACTTCAGGACTGACTATACAAAGTGATTAGTAAAACTCTCTCTTGCAGTTACTCAGAAAAGACAAAACTAGAATTAATAGATGTTAAAAATGATAAGTCATATTCAAATTCTGTGAAGCTATTTAGATTTATTAAAGGAACAGTAAGTGGAGTAGGCATATGGTTATTTTTCTGTCGTGATTGTAATGTATTTTTCTTCTTGATGCTGGTTGCAGCTATCTTTTGCTGACTTATAAAAGGTGACTGTCCCTTGACTGTCCCTTGACCTTTTTTCTATCTATACAACACCTTTATCTTAGCTGAGATACTTCCTGCAATGTAAGAACTAGAATTTGTTTGAGGTTAATTTGTGGAAAATTAATCTGAGGTACTGGAATGAAATGTCTAAGAGACTAGTCCTTCCAGTAGAGAGCAAAACAAACAAAGCTATAAATACCACTCAATAGTTGTCACCAGTGCCTGTTAAAAAGAAAGTTCCAGAGAACAACAGAGGAAGACAAGAAGTGCATATTCATAAAATACTAATCTACAAAATTTTAAAAAGTGCATTAATGGACTGCTAATGTACACAGAAGAATTTTACACGAGTTAGGTAGTCTAAAATGTACAAAACCTAAAGCACTAACCAAAACATACTAAACCTCAAGGATTTTTATTTTATTGTTTTAAGCCTGAATTCTACATAACCCTGTAACATTTTCATGCTTGCACAGATTTACTTACTTGAGCTATTCACGTGAAGATTTGTAAGGAAGGTTAAGTGCATATACAATACTTGTGGGACTGGTATGTTAGGGAAGAACCCAACCATCATCAAGGCAGGCATAGAGAATTTAGGTTTCTTTACGGCTGTTTATTGATTATAGTGCCATGCAGCTATTGACTATGCTCTCCTGCAGTAATATATGTTCTCTCTAAGACTGCTGGGGTGTTTTATGCATGAAGAAATCTTGTCTTGTGCTATATTCCCTCTCATTCTTTTCCTGTCCTCTTTGCAAAATGTTATACTGGAGCTCAAAAGGCCTTAGCATAGTTTTGATTTTATTCTTTATCAAAGGAAGTAACCCCTTGCTTGCCTTGCTTGGTACTGCATTCCCTTTACTGAGCGCACGGTTGACTTGACAGCTGGTATGTCAGCCAAGTTAAACAAAACTCCTGGATTTTGAAGGTAAGTCCACCATAAATTAAACTACCTGACAAGGTCTGCAAAGAACATATTTAATGAGTTATTTGTGTTACATTAAATTTAGCGTAGCTGCAAGAATACATTGATTGTACAGTTAAATTTAGTATGTGTTAAAGAAAGGCTGCTGGTAGTTGCAGCATTGCATTTTGCTTAATCCCAACTTGACAGAAATGGTAGACAAGAAGCTCAGATGTACTATTTCCAGCTCTTGTGCTGATACAACAGAAATTTGTGACGAGTATTTTCTTATTTCCTGCCCTTATTTCTCTTTGCCAAGAATACATCCCAAGTAAGAGTTACAGAGGTCTATAGCCTCAAACTGCCATCTTCACTGGGCTTTAAAGTTGACCTTTCCTCTTCCACAGAAGTAAGCGATGCATCAGTTGAAGAAGCTGTGGACTCCTTCAACCAGAATTAAATAGCAGTGATTTAGAATAAACACTTTTTTACCCCTTGAAATCTGATAACATCCCAAAGTATTGCAACACCTACTTCCAACTGTTGGTCTTGAACTTTCCACATAGCAACAGCAATATCCATATGAGCAGAAAGTGCAGCTGAATTTCACCCTTTCAGAAGTAACCTGGCTGTACTCCATAAAGTTCCATACAGTTAGTCCTTTCTTTAGATTTCAAGGAAAAGCATTCATATTAGGCAACAGAATGACTACCAACATTATATTTGTTTTCCTTTGTTGACCAAAAAGGGCTCAAAGCTTTTTTTCAGTTCATGAGAATGTTACCTGGGAAAAAAAAGCTGAGAAAAGTGACTAAGGAATACATCTGGAAAATAAAAAAAACCCCAAATGTATGAGAATTTTGACCTTGGAATAGCTGCAAAATATGTTCCCAACAGAATTGTCTTTATGGCACTCACATGTGCTGTGATAGCGTACTGTCACAAAAGAACAGGAAACTAGAAGGAAAACACTGTGAGGTGAATGCCTGCCATGTTCACTTGTGTGTGTGCGAGGTGCCGAAGTAACCATTGTTTTCCATTCCACGCTGGCAGTGTTTTAGCTGGAAAACGGTATTCAGCTCTAAGCATGGACTGAGGAGAGCCCAGAAGAGAGAGGAAGGCTGATAAGCAATGAGGAAACCTGACGTGTAAGGACAAGTTGATAAAATTGTGTTTGTTTGGTCTAGCAAAGAGGAGGCGAAGGGAAGATATAAGAGTCTGGAGCAGAGGTAGGAACATGCAGTGATGAAACAGAGGACCTGGTACCAACCAGTGGTCTGTTCTTACAGCTTTATGATTCTGGAGTGGCTTTCAAGCAGGTGCTCAAAAAGAGTTAAAGGCCGTTATGAAGACAGTCTCCTTTCCCACACCCAGAGCAATTAGCAATATTCATGGAACTTTTTTTTACCTGAACAAGAGCTCTTCAGTTGACAAAATTAATATAAACAACAGCGATTTGCTAAGCCTTTTTCCTCAGCCTGTTCAGTTTATTTATACAAAATACAAATGCTTAAAGTGATTTAAGGGAGAAATGAATGCCTTTTTGCTGGGAGCTATATAACATGAATATTTATAACTGCCCCGTAACTCAATCACTATTTATTTCCCTAAAATCTACCTGTGAAGTCACGTGCCTGTTAGAAAGTCAGCTATCAGGAAGATGGCATAGAGAAAACCTGAATTAAAGAGCTCTGGGGATTATTTCCACCCTTTATAGTGTTCCTGTGAATTCTAAAAAGAAAAGAAGGTGCTCCTACTTTTTTGCTTCTCTGCAGATCATGCTTGGTCATCTTCTCTCAAATTCAATGAAAATCTTTTCCATCTTTATTAAAAGACAACCTTTATCACGCAAGATTTCTGTCAATCCCTTAAATGTTTGCTGAGAGCGCCACTAAAACAGGTAATCTTTTTCATTTAGAAAAATTAATTAAAACTATTTAAGATTCTTTATTACCCTGAACATTCTCTTCTCCCCTTTGTCTATTTTTGCAATGGGATTTTCTTTGCATTAATATATTTTCCTCTTTCTTTTTGCATGAAACCACAGGGACATAAAGAAAAACTTACAACATACAATGTTAAAACGCAAACAAAATCATAGAAAAAAAAAATAGAATGTTATTTGTGCTGAACTGGTATGACCTCATGCAGAAATTTGATTGTTTTTCTGATAGACTGCATGCCTCAGGTTTTACTAAACCCTGTACGAGACAAAAAGATTTACAGTCAAAGAAATATTTCAACTCAGGGAAGCTTTCTGCAAAACAAGCCAATACTCCTGTCTCCTCCCTTCTGCTCTGACTCCTGCAGAGCTGGTTCAAATGCAGTCTGGCATCTCTGGCTAAAACCTGTTCTCTCTGCTAAAATCAATTGTACGCTGGTATTCAAAGCTGCAGATTTATTTGTTTTACAGAAATCTCTCAAGTATAGAATTAATGAAATATTCAAGAGAAGAGAGATTTGAATGCTGTTTTATATTATCATGTCTTTAAAAACCAAAATTGGATAGTCTTTGATTTAATTTTCTATATGAGATAAATAATTGGGGTTTAACTCCTCAGCTGTTGCATTTTATTTTATTTTAATGTGTTTAGTAGGAATGTTTTCTGCTATTCCATTACTAGTATATAAATATAGCAATTTAAATTCATTCTTAGCCGGTCTAAGACAATTGTTTTTTAAAATTCAATGGCAACTCTTAGTTTCTTCGCCCAAGCTAGCCCCCAGCAGTGAAAGCTGTCACTTCTTGTTCAGTGTTTCTTATGTTCATCTTCTGTAGCAAGAGAAGGTACACATACTGTGATCAGGCCTTTCCTGCTTATAACAGTGCCAATTAACTGTACCAATTACTGTGCACAGTGACAACTGAAGAGGTAAAGGTTCACTACGGAATTGTTACTTTAAGGTATGCTTGGGCATGTAGATAGGATATTTCTTGTCCATTTTTACAGCTGACTATTTAATCACAGATGTTTTTTCTTGGAAGAAGGAAGCCTTTTTAAAGAACAAAACAAAATATAATTATCAGGATTGTAATGTTACTGTACAGTATATACTGGATTTAACTCCAAGAGCATGCAATGCCACTGTCTTCTGATTGTTTCAGTACTACCACCTAATGTAAATCTGTCTGGTTTTTGTTTTAATGACAAAAAAATTATGGGCAGCTATAATGTACATTATTCCAGCATAGAATAATCCAAAAGAACAATTTCTCCAGTGATACAACATATCAGTAATAAAGTTTGTCCTTTGCAATAAGAATTGTTGATGTAGTGTGACACTGAGCAACCTACGTGATCAACCGATTTAAGTGTGAGGTGAGGACGCTTACAGGACTCCAACCGTAACGTTTGTTGCATGAGATGACACTGATGACTCATCTTAACAATTAACCTGGCCATCTCCTATAGTTTCAAAATAAGCTGAGGTCTTCCAAGTTTTCCCATGCTAGTGACACCAAAGTAAAAATATCTCCCTGACCTCCACAAGCAGTAATATGACACCCATAACCATGAGGTTTAGTTTCCTTTATCATACTGCCTGAGCTCTGACATAGAAGCCCAAGTACTTGCTCTCACTTCACTTACTCTTCCAGATTCATGTGAAAGTAAGACAATGTCACCAATGTTGCATAAGTGATCATGTCTCATTAAATCAATGTTACTGGTATTCAAAAAGCTCTTAGCTTGCGGGATTTAAGCTAATAAAAATAGTACTGAAAAAAAACGGCAGTAAACTTTAACAAAACTAACTACTTTCTTCTGGAACTAAAATATACCTATAAGTACAGGCAGCACAGCTTTGAGTGTTTTCAAAAGTTTGATCTATGGCACTTCACAGTATGTGACTGGGAGGCTGAAAAGGCTTTTCATAGTTGTGGGGATCTTGCATAACTTGGGAAACTCTTGGTAGTTCTTAATTAGTCCACTACGATTTGCTCTGTGGGACACTGTATGCGCCAAGTAATCAAGAGCCAAGTGTGGAACAAAGGAGCAAAGTGCAAAACACACACAAATAGACTGCTGAGAAATAATTTCTGAAAAGTTAGCAAAGCCAACAATAATTTTAATTTTAGGGCTGAATAACTTCTAATATTAGCAAAGAATGGATTAGAAATTGGAACAACTGTGCTGGCAGACAAAAGACTAAATCCATTAATAGGGCTATCCTATTTATTGCAAAGGCAAGTGGACTGGCAATAAATCCTCCCGTGTTTCAATAAAACGCAATTTCCCTAATCTTCAGGATTCTTTTAACGTTAAAATATTTTACATCTCAATTTTTAAGGTGTACTTTTAAATATTGAAACATTCTGAAAAGTCTCACTCACGGAACATGCAGTCTTGGGCAAGTACCCAGCAAAAACTTCAAGGGGGTTCTGATCTCTTATTTATGAAACAACATGGTTTTGTTTATTTTACAAGGAATGCCTATGCTATATAAACTTCAGAATTAGAACTTTAATTGTCACTATTTCCACGTGTTTAAAGCAGTACACATTAGTCTGTTCACTTTATAGGCAAAATGTATTAATTCAGATCAACATGCATAGGCATATTTGATTTGCATACATTGTGTGGGAATCTATACAGAAAGGTCTTTGTGTTTACGTTTTGGAAAACTTTACTTTTAAAGACAGCCTAAATTTGGAGCAAATACAACTACAGATCCTGCAGAAGTCTGAACGTTTTGGGAATAAAGGATGTCCTTATCATCTGTTCACCCAACAATTGTTCCCACCACTGTAAAGTATTGTGCTATTATAAGTTCTCTAAATAAAATGGGAGGGAACTCTTTTATAAAAGCTACAAATTTATTTGTATTGTACAAACATTTCAGGATAATTCAGTAATTAGGAGAAAAGTAACAGGAGTGCACTGAAAGCAAAGATGCATCAGTGGCGTCAGTACTGAGAGAGTTGTACTATAGCATGCTGAATTCAAAGTAGCTCTGCTAAGGAACATCTGGTTGAATTTAAATTGCAAAGTTTGGACTCAGCATGATAATACAAACAAAATGATGACATTGGCTTCAGCCTCTAGTAACTAGCTGCTTGCAGATAGGGTATCAATGTAACTACTGCTGAGTAGTATCAGAATCTTCTAAGCTTCCGTACTCCTGCTTTTAATCAGAGGGAGAGAGAGGTACCACAAATGAAGAAAGTGTATCAAAAAAGGACTGACAATAATATAGCAGAATCTGTAACAGAAAGGAATTTTGCTGTTTTGAAGAAAGTCTGAGCAGATGTACTAGAAGGCTGAGAGTTGCATAATATAAAAAAACCAACAGATGTCTTAAAACTGTCTCGTCCAAAATAAATTTATCTAAATGCTGTGAAACTGGGTTACAAACGCTACCACTAAGGACTTCATAATCTATGCATACCCACATACTAATTTGGGACCTGAAACAAGAAAAAAATATTAATTCTTAAGAAGCTATTTTTTACAGCTAGAA